AATCGACACCATAGTTGTGGATTTCGAGAAAAACTGAGCAAAAGCTTGGAGAGAAAAGGAGTTGTTTTTATGGAGAGAGATTGAAATAATCTTTTGCCTTGGGTCTCACGTCACCCCTAAATTCAAGGGGGATGGTGGTTAAGGGGGAGGGGCAACGACAAGGGTTAGGGAGGGGTGGCAGGCGTGCAAGGGAAGCTAAGGGGCCTGGGTTGGTCTTCAACAGGGGTGAGGACAGGAGAGGGGTGGTTGGCTGGTGGGGGGAGAGAGGTGACTTTTTAATTATTTCTAAAATAATTTAAATGTTAAAAAAACTAACTATAGTTAAAGATTTAATTAAAATTTATCATTAATGTTATGGTTAAATTAGTATTATTAATTCATGATCAGCTAAGATAATAAGTTTGTTTTTTTTGCAATTTTCCTTTAATCTAATTAACCTTGAAATTATTAGGCTATTACTAATATTACTAAGCACACGTAACCCAAAACTCAATTTTCAATTTCTTATACAATTCTTCACCATTGTAGTCACAGTTAAAATTTGTCATTATTATTCTAAAAATCTTAATTTATTGCTCTTTTACTAAGGAATACACATCCTTCTTCCTTACTCATGCCTCTTAAGACTAACCTCATCAATAGTGGAGGTCAAACTGTCAATGTTCATGGCAGAAGAATTAGCCTGCTCCTTACCTTTACTCTTTCTCATCGAGTCGATTTTCTTCACTATTACCCAATCAATAATTGGACCCTAAACTATTACTTTCTCGATTACTAGAAGGTAGTTACATGGTTCCATCACCCCGTTTCTTCTTTTTTTTCTTCATAATTTGCCAACAACGTGTCAACACATACGTTTACCATATTGCTTGATTGTGAAAGCTTTCGTGAGCATGCATCTTAATATCTTGTTGCGTTTCTCCACTTTATGATGGGTTACCTCTGATTACTGAGTAACACTCAGTAATACCTCGAATTTTTGGAAATACTTTCTTAATTATTCTTTAATTATTTGAATTTGAAGTCAAAATAAATTTAAATTTTGGCGCCAAAATAGAAGAATTTAATTATTTGAACAATGAATTATTTCCGTATTTCTAAGTAAATAGTAATTAATAATCTTGGTCGGTCCATATTTTATTAAATTTCAAAACTTATGTTGTACAAACTATTGGAATTAACTATATTATATTCCGGATTTTATCTTAATTAGTAATATTCAACAATTTTAATTATTATCTTATGATTTACAACTAATTTTAGTTTTAATATTATCTAAAATATTTTGTATATTTGTATTTTTCAATAATAAATTCATTTAATTATCAAAATCATTCATTTTATTAATTAAATTATGATTTTCGTTTAAAAAAATATATATTATGTTAGCCGAAAGATCTTAGAGATAGCATATCTCATGGTTTTTTTTCTTAACATTAAGTAGTTAAACCTCCTAGATTATCTTACTTATTTCCTATCTTACTCCCCTAACAAGTTAACATCTATCTACATCTATCTTATTTTCTCTTCTCATCTTCTTCATTAGATTTTCCACATAAATTAACCTAGACCAAATTGTACTCAAAATCATTTAACAAACCTTCTTATACTAATCTTATTCCTCCTTAAAGACTATCTTACTACCACTTAAACACCTATAAATAGGCCCTTAATTCTCCTCACTCATTCACCACCAAAAAAAAATCAAAAAACTCTCTTTTCTATTTCTCAACTCGTGACCCTCTCCTTCTCCCTCTATTTCTTTCTTGTTTGCTCAAATAAACACCGCAACCGCACCACCATTGCTGCCGTCAATTGCCACTCTACTGCCACATTACTGCTGCCCTAACACCAGCCACTTTATCGTTGCCTTTCGCCACCTCATTGTTGCTGTAACTTGCTGCTAGCAAGCTAATTAATTAGATGCAGTGACACTTTCTTTCTTTCACCCTTCTTTTGCCGCAAGAGACTAGGACAACAACGAAAATAATATTTGCTTCCTTTATTCCTTATCTTATTATCATTATGAGCATCATTTAATTACCAATATTATTACTGTATTATACTAGTGCTATATTGATACTAACATTACACTTTTTATACTAATGTCACTATTTTTAGTACTAACATAAGCTATTTTATAAAAGTTTTGATTTGATAAGGTTAATATTTTGGTAGTTCATGCACAAGTAGAGCATTGTTTATCAATTTGGGATTATTTGTTAACCTTATATTAATTAAGGTTATTTAAATTGTAGGAGAATTCTCTCAATCGTGATCAAGTGTAGTCGTACCTTTGTTCCCGTGATCAAGGTACATATAGGTGGCTAGGTTCTTGATACAAGTTTTGAATGCATGTTTTGGTGAATGTTTTATTTTGATTGTTTGAATAAAGGTTGCGTATGGAAGGTTTGAAATAATAATTTTCATGATACGATTTAAAAGTTTGATCTTTAAAAGTTAATTAATTTAATAAAAGTTGTTTATAAATCACTTAATTACAAGTTATTAAATTAAAGGAATTAATTTAAAATTTGCAGCTCATTATGGGCCTGAGTATCTAATATTTATAGTCTCTACCCGAGACTGGTTAAGTAAGACTATGAACTTTATATGATCTGATTTTTTCTTGAGTATAGTTTGACTTGCTTGGGAGGTGTGCACACTTAGGTGAGGAAAATTGGTTTTGAAAATATGTCTGAAATTGGAAAGTTAATACATTTGGAAAGCTATTGATTTGGAAAGTTTTATTGATGGACATTACTATACTTGGAAGGTTTAATTTTGGAAAGTCTAATTTCGGGAAGTGATGAATTTTGAGAAAGTCCTATTTTGGCTGGTCTAAATTGAAGTAATTATTTCGAAAGCATGTTTGCCAAATAAAAGTATTTACATGCCTTGCACTTATATGTACTTAGCGTTTGTGCTAATTTGTTTTTCTTTTTGTTGTGGTTTGCCTTGTTTACCATTATTGGTAAGCAGTTTTGATTTCAGGTGTGGAGTTGATCGTGCGCATAATTGAGTCGGAATTGGGATCATCTAGTTAGGAATTTATTTATTCATGAGTTACACAAAAGTCAGTTATTTTCTGCTGCCATTTTTATTTAGAAGTTAAGTAAGCCTTATGTTGTCACGTGACGGTAATACGCTCAAGTCTATCTCTATATATTTTATACGTATTATTCTAATATTTTCGTAGAGAGAGATTTTTGGGTATTACACACTCAACATTTTCCAACCAAATGCATTTATGTGATTCCACCTAACTTGCAAAGGCTTCTTGGTTCTCTTACTGATTCCCTAGTTGGGATTTTGTTCCCGTGATTTGTTGTGCAATGCTTCAATGTTATCCCACTAATTAACCTTCGTTCGCTAAGTAGCCTCTCCACATTTCATATGGTATTAATATACCCAGACACTAGCGCTTTGCCGCTTTTTATGGACCACCCCTTTTATCATACAATAGTATTCAAGCGAATTAAAAGAAAATGACTATTACGCTTCAATGGAGCTCACGACTAGGCTTCCATGGGGAAATGAATGGAAGAAGACGATACCCCTACCATCTAACCATGTCATTCTATTCTCCATTTATTCTTAGGGTTTTCTTTTAATTTGGCAACGAAAATGGCTGCGGAGGAAGAAGTTCATGGCGAGGAACAAGATGATGATGGAGATGGAAGAAGGAGGAGAAAAAAGCTGCCATTTGTGACATGATGGTGGAAATAGTGATTTCCTTCAATGGCGACCGTCTTGTACATATGTGTCCTTTTACGACGTTAATTGATGGACTAAACGTTCTAGAATCTATTTCCCTTTATTTTTCCATTCTAAATTCTTAAATATTCACATGGTAGAGCATATTGAAAAAATGTTTACAACATTGTCATCAGAGCGGTTAAAAGTTGACCCGATCTGAAAAATTTACCCAAATTCAATTATTAACCGACCCGTTTGAATCCGAAAAAATGGTGACCCGAACTCGATATGATCCGAACCCTAGACTCGAGTTAATCCGAGTATTTGAAACCCGAACCCGAACATGTATCGACCCGGAGATGACCAGACCTGAATATAACCCGTAAATTATTGACTTGAACAGAATCCGACTTGAACAGTGATTGACTTAAACCCGTTTTAACCAATCAAAACCCGAATTTAACCCGACCTGTTACTGACCCAACTCGAATTCAACCCGACCTGTTACTAACCCGACCCAAATTTAACCCAACTTGTTACTAACTCGACCCGAAATTCAACCCGATCTGTTACTAACCCCAACCCGAAATTAATACAACTTATTATTGACCCGACCCAAATTCAACCTGAATTGTTCCTAACCCATTTCGAACTCAACCTAACCTATTATTGACCTGACCCGATTTCAAATCACCCTAAATTCAATTTAGACCACCTTATTAATATAGTTATATAGTTACGTACTCATTTCTAAATTATTTCTACTAAGAATATGATGTTCGCCACGCAAATAAGAATATAAGATTATAATATAAGATTATATTAAAGAACTTAAAAACCATGATTGGGAAGTACAAATATGCATGTGGGGTTAGAGAGAGATAGAGAGAAAGAAAAGGTAGTTGGTAATTATTGAAGAGATGGAAAGAGAAAGTGTTAGAAAATAAAGTCAAAAGTACAAAAAAAAAAAAAAAAAAAAAAAAAAAAAAAAAAAAAAATTAAAGACAACTCATCAAAAAGAGGGAATATTTTCAAAAAATACATTCTTAAAATAGGCATGTAATTTTAAAACCCCCAAAAAGGAAATAAATAAAAGATAGAGTGAGTATTAACTAAAAAGGAAAGTGATGCACCTAATTTGAAATATCCTTATTTATAAAGTGGTTCATCTAAAAAGAAACGGTGAAAGTATCTTCTTATTACCTTCTTTGTTATAAAAGAATTCAATCAAAAGATTGGACACATTATAAGAATTAATGAAAGACGAGGAAAAAAAAAAAGAAAAAAAAAAAACTCACTGATTAACAACTTATTTTGCAATTCTCCAAATGCAACTAAAGTTGGTTGGTAGTTGTATCAATATTATTTTTTTTTTAAAAAAAAAGAAAAGAAAAAAAAGATAGTTATAAATTTTCAACGTGGTGGTTAATACATTTGAGCTTGGTTATATAAATTATGTGCTACTCTAACAATTAAAAGAATTACAAAACTAAATGTAACAAGCATTAGAAGAACCACAACCTCTAAAATTCAGGTTTTCTGTAGCAAATCTGCAAGGGTCTCAGCCTTTCCTTCATCATCATTACTTAAGGGCTCATGATCAGGTGTATCTAGAAACGTATTTTCAGCTGACTGAGAAATATACTCTGACATACGGAATGAAAGCTCGTCAGGAACAACAACGGAATTTTGCAGTCCTGCTTCATTTGGATGCTCTGCCTCTGTTATTTTGACCTCATTTAAAGAAGCAACAGAAGAGCTTCGTGATAGCGTGAGGGATGCAACTGTCGTTACTTCATCTATGTCGTCAAGGGAGCAAACTGACCTTGCTGCTAGTGAACGTCTTGACTTCTCCTTAACTCTCTTACACCAGTTGTGCAAGGAATCTCTCACACTTTCAGCAACCAAGGCTTTCTTGCACTTAGATCCCATCTAGCACCATCAAAGGTCAAAAGAATTAGCCTATAATTCTGTTGTTAATATTAGTTTAGTGGCAGTGAACAAGTTATATTGCTGTTCAGAAACCATGTTAGTGAAGTCGAGAGAGTATGGCTAGTTCCATCATAATGGGGTTCGGAGTCTGTTCAATGTGCTGTGGTAGCAGAAAATTTTGGGACAAATTGTCATGTTGTACAGCTAAATCGATTGAAGAAGAATGTGAAATGTAGGCACTAGACAATTACAATCACGTTGAAGCAATAGCCTTGGTTGTTATAGAGCTCAAACTCATACTGATGCATAACTGCATCACTAATGAAAAACTTTTCCAAAAAGTTCTATATTCAAATACTTTTGAATTGTTATTAGTTCCTTTTATAGATGAATTCAATATAAAAGATGTAAATGTCATCAACTTAGGGGAAATGAAAATCCTACTACAAAATGCAATGTGCTCACCTGTGTTATAATGACACTAAGAGGGACAGTACTGTAGCTGCACCAGATTTGAATGAGAACGCTGCAGTTAAGATTGTAAAAGGCAGAGAATAAGAATATACTAATATTCCGTAACAGCAACATATATTTTTCTTTTTCAGCATAAACTGAGATTGGCACATTCACTTTAATTTTTACAAGAGTAAATTATTACATGAATGAAGGGGGAACAAGATCTGGCTATAAGACATGTAAAGTGTCACCGTCCGAGGTCCTAAATCTCAATAGTTTGACATGATTAACTACCTTATATGATTTTGTTCATTGGCCAAATGTATTTAGACAACTTCTATGAGTTGATACAGACAACGCAACTCCCCGATGATTGTGGAGTGCATGGCTAACTAGCTATGTTTTGGCATCATTTTACTTCTACCAGTAATCAAGTAGCTAACTTTTGTGATGAGGTACAGTACAGAAGTTAGAGTGAGTAAAAATAACTTATGTTTTTCTAGTAATTTGTATAATCCAAACCATGAGAGCTCAATCTGTACAACTTTATTGAAAGTACAACTATATGAAATTACATAACAATATGTTTCCATTCTTTCTATAAATGAAATGTGACAAGAAGCAAAAGGAATGACATTTATAATTTACATACCCAGAAACCAAACGGATGATTACCATAGCATGGTTCTTCATAAAACAAGACCGCTGCTCAAATCCCCACTGCAAAAAGGAAAAAAAGATTACTCAGATTATCACTCAAAAGATTGCAGAGGGGTGATTGAGTTGTTCCCAAAATTGCACGTGAGATACATGATCTCAAAGTATAATTGTTATTCATAGAGTAACACTCACTTCTAGACTTCTTATATCACAGAAGTATTGTAAGAAAATTTCTTTGAAAAGACATGATGGATACATGTCCTATCATTGATCGTGTTTATATAAAGCAGCATGAATCAAAGTCTAGGGTATTTTGATAGTCTTCCGCGATTAGAGAAAAATCCTTCATTTTTGTTCTATCTCGTACTTGATCTTTTAGTGTCTATTCGTTGAGCATTGCAAGAGCAACACCAAAAGATAAATTTTATCCCAGAAACATATATGACGTTCTCTTTGCACTGGTTAGAGGCAGATCTAGTATCTGTGAAGGTGTTCTCACATGCCTCAATATTTGTTTGATCGCAATTTCCCTCTTATTCCTCTTAATCACCCCAAACACTAAAACAAATTATAATAAAAGCATGTGTACAAACATATATTGCGTGTGTGACAAGAAGTGGGGAGTTGGGGAGAAAACTCACCAAGGACCAGAGAAAAGTTGCCATTTCAAAAGCATTCTGCATGTACCAAAGAAAACAAACCGTAAGGATATAGTAATACATTATATAAAAAGCTAGAGAGAATAATACTGAGATCAAGTCACCTGAAATGAAATGAACTGAATCAACCATAATATCATTTCTGGCTTCCCAAACCAAAATAGCTCATCACGTGGCTTCACTTGAGTCCTGGTAGATGGACACGTTGGTGCTGCAATTTCTAGTGCCAAAAGGGAAACGACATGCTCAAGTTTTGTACCAACCAGCATGACAAGCTATAAGGAAGAATAAAGTATACATAAATCCATTATGCACAATTAAAATAAAAAAATATATATATAGGTGCTCATAATTTTCTCAGGAAAATAGGCAGATAGAGACAAAAAAAACTTACAATTACAGGGATGAATGAAAGCCAAAAGTAAATGTTCAGTCCTGCATATTACATCATAGATTGAAGTTCAAAGAGAATAATAATAAAACAATATGTAAGAAATTGGGTTAAAGTCTTATCTTCTTCAATTAGAAAAAGTACCGTGAACATTGAGCAGGATGCATAGTATTGCATAACCCCATAATGGCCAACTGCAAAAATGAAGATATCTAGCATAAGATCTTAAAATAACATTCCAAGAAAAGGGACTAATTATTAAGCTTCATTATATTAGACGTTCCTCTTGGACATAACCATAAAGCGGTGATATGCATTTAACCTTAGCTCACCATTAATGTTCCAAGGATGACAACTTAAAAGAAGTTTTACTGCTTCCAAACTCGTTATAACTGCATTCCTATAGTCCTATTCCTCTCACAGAGTTGTTTATGTTATAAGTCAAGCTCAAGTTTGAATCAGCTCAATTCGAACTCGCGAAGCTCATATGCAAGGTCGACTCAACTTATAAACTCAAAAACTTGAAGTTTGACTCAAACTTTAGAGTTTTACCAGCTCAACCGAAAAGGCAACATAAGTTTGGCTCAATCTAGGCTCAAAAAGTGAAATGAAATGTAGCAGTTTTGGATTATGTAACGGATTTTGGATTTGCTGTTCCGCAAAACCCCGTTATATAACGCCGCGACAAAATCACATCTTTCACCCCGCGTCATCCGTTTTGTAACGGTGACTCGCCGCGTTAGAACGTTTTTTAACCCGTTACATCCATTTAGTATATTAGAAATTGATTATATAGTTTATAAAACATGATATTTAGTAATTTTTATTCACCAAATATGTTACATGCTTTCATTTTGATAAATATGGTTATTTTATGTTCTAAGAATACATTTTTAACTTAAAGACTATAAACACCACTTAATCCATTAATGTGAATTTATTCGAAAAATTCACACCGCGCTTGCCACGATCCGTTATATTCGTCCGTTACAAGCCGTTCCCGCGACAACGCAACCGTTACTGCGATCGCAACCGCATCCGCAATTTTTTTCTATGGGCCTGACACAACACAGCCAAAACCTAACCTTGTAAAAGTTGGATTGGGTTTGGTTTATCAACAAATTTATTCAAACATATTGACATGAACAACCTATCTAATAGATGGGTTAGGTGAGAGATGAAAATTCCAATCCAAAAATAACCAACCCTAACTCATTTAACTCAGTCACCAATTTATTTAAAATAAAATTAAGGAACCATTATAGGAACTTTGAACTCATTTGTTATCAATGGGCAAACAAGTCAGACCTGACATGACTAGTTTTCCAACTCTCGATGCTAGCATATTACATGCACTGATGCACCCCAATGCTGGAAAATAAAACAAATGCAGCAGGATATTTATTTTCAAGTCGGACCTAGATTTAGAGCTTGATTTTTTTATCTAAATCAAGCTTGAGTATGCAACTTGTGAGTTCAAGTCAAGCTAAACCTGACTCAAACATGACTTACATCATCAAATCAGTTCCAAATATCTAGTAGTAGAGAACAGACAGTGAGAAACTGTTAGCAGATTTAAACACTAAACTTGACCACATGAATTAATAAGATATTAATACATTTAGGTCGCACAGAGTAAGATAGTTAAAAAATATAATACCTACTAAATTAGAGTACGAACACAAGATGTCTGATCACTGATAATTGATAGATCATTTAGAGGCCAACTAATATAAATTATCATTATCAGATATTCCTCCTAAAAATCAGAGGACAAGGCCTCAAAACTTAAAACTTTTCAACAAACTACTTCATACTGCCAAATATGAGCCCGTAAAGGTTAATATCGTTATACAACAGAAACTATTTTGTGAGAGGTATGCTGGACCCAATAAATAGAAGTCAAGAAGTGCTAGCCCAAGAAAAATTTCTTAAGATCATTTGTACATTTTCTGTGTTCTAAATGCCTAAAAAAAAGATATGTAATGTCTTTCCAAGCTAATTAACTCAAATGGCACAAGTATTAGTGACGTATTAAACTCACAGTTGATATTAGCACCATAACAAGGACTCTAAATTATAAGCTTTCTGCGATATGGGACATAGAGTTAAATAAAAAAAAAAAATTAATTAATTAATAAATAAAAACTGTCTCTAGTCAACAAAGAATTGTATACCTGATTCCCACTATTGTGTGAAATTCATCTTCCATGCTCCTAACCATGTATTTGTGAAAGTCATAGAGTTGTGGTAGTCTATGATTCTGCAAACAAGTTTTAACGAAATATCATCAAGTCAGCTACTTAAAGTGGAACCATTAATCATACAATGTGAGAAATTTTGCAACACGTAGATATGTTAACAGCCGTTGTCCTGACACATCTCATCTGAACCTCAACCCCACAGAGTAAGCAGCTATAAATCACATATTATAGAATCAGCTGTTATAAGATGGCTGTATCAATCATGCAAGGTAATTTGAAATTGCATCAACCCAACTAGAAGAGAAAGCCGGCTATAAGATTGTTATGGATCATAATAGTTCAATTTTCTGGATGACATCGACATGTTTTCAACGCAGAAATCTAACAGTTATTCTCTGATGTCATAGTAATCAAGGCTGGGTATTTCACTTCATATAAATGAGAGGAAATCTAGGAACGAAGCTGGAAGATGTAGAAGAATGAGTGTAGCAGAGGCGCACAGCATTCAAACAGAAATATACTGAAATCTGAATTAATATATTAGAATTTCAGCAGTTGTTTCTCAGCATTACATATGACTATATGAGAAAAGAGTCATCCATACTAACACTTCCAAGCACAAGAATAACAAATACAGCGCAAAGTGCTTCTTCCAAAATTAACATCATACATAGGACAATATTTCATTGAAACTGAATAAACGTTCCACTGATAATATGTTAACGTTCCACTGATTTTACCTCCACCAGAACTTCTATACATGCCTATTACGGTAAGTGTAAGCTGACATCTCAATTCCTTTTTATTTTTTTTATTTTTTTTGGGGGGGGAAGGGGTGGGAGGATGTTTATTAGCATTACAAAAGAGTATGGAATTGATAATTACTGTCAGACACATTGATATAAAAAATTCACAACATCAGGCATTCAGGCCCATCCAGCTATGAAACCATGACTGACTCACCTTCAAAGAACAATAAGGAAAATATTAATACAAATGAACTATTACAAGGACAGGAATGTCAAAGTGACACTTACAGTTATAAAACCCAAACGCAGTGCCATATAATCTGATTTCCGTATAGAACTCTTGAATTGTCGAAGAAAACATAGCTGCATGAATAAAGGATGGATCAACTTGAGAACAAAAGTAACATTGAATGAGTCATATAGTGCTTAATCTCTATGACATGACAACACAAGGTTTGATCCTTTAGAAGGAATCCACATAAGCTAATGATTATTATGTAGCCATAATAATGTACAGCAAGATCTGTCCATCTTTTTATTATACTTCCTTCATTCCTTTTAATTGCAACGTGGAGGTGATGCATGGTATTTCAGGAGAGGAGAACGATAGAGAGAAATAAAAAGAAAGACCCATGTGATAAGGGAAGAGATAGAGAATCATTAGCCAAATAAAGTAATCTTGCAATTAATTTGAAACTTCCCAAAGAGAAATATTTTGAGATTAAAAAAGAACATAAGATTTTTTTTTTTTTTTTTTTTTTTTTTTTTTTTTGTAAACAAAATCCTAGTTAAAATAGCTTGTAGGTGATACATTATGCTTAACATTTGCTACCTTCAATCTTTAATAAATTATTACACATAGCTCGATAATTGTTTGATAGAAAATGCCCTCTGACGAAAAAGGGTTGTAAAGCTGATTAAAATAACCTATATAAAAAATTATTACAGAAAAGAAAAGGTTGTCACTATCACAAATTCTTGATTAAGGTAGACTTTAAGTTATTGTAAGACGGTCTAAGGTTACCCAAAAAGTATTTAAAGTTACCTTATATACTACAAAAGTTACCGTTTTCCTAACATGATTTTTACCTTTAAAAAACACTTATAATAGAGTAATCATATTAGCCTTCATAACATGTATCCATTACAAAGTACACATTAAAATACAATCAATACATCACAAATTAAAAGTTACCCTTAAAGGGATTAAAGTTACCTTGATATTGACCGTCTTACAATAAAATTAATGTAAGTTCGCCTTATACAAGACTTATTGTATCACTATAGAGCAACGACATCTGTCTGATAGTTACTCAACATAATTTAAGACTAGCAACTATTGACACGAAAGAAGTTCCAACAAGTAATCCAACCAACAGAGCCAAAATGACTCCAACCAACAAAACCAAAAAACAAACAAACAAACAAAAAAAAAAAGGTGATTTGAGCCATTATAGGACTTGACAATTAACCACAAAAAGCTATAATGTCAAAAGGCATCGCTCTTTTTTGCTTCAGTATTTCTGTTACCACAATTTTATCCTGATCTTCCAATTTTTGGTGTACTGCTTACTCTTCTCCTCAACCCCTCTCATAGAAGTAAATGACAAGAAATAAAAGGGAAAGAACCATTATAGTAAAGTCTTATTTTTCTTTATGTTCCTCATAAAGTTTGTTTTGATTCCGTTATCTTGTGTCACTATGATAGTGTCAAGATCATTTATGATCAAGACAAAAGGAGCTTTGGTGCAACTTAGTGCAGGCTGCTGTGGCTATCCTTCTGCTGCTGTTTATAATCTAAATAGTACAGCCTAGAACTGTTCTTTTGTTTGTATGAACTTTAACTATGTTTTAGTGGTAATGGTGGATTATTTTTGCAATGCTCCAGATTTTCATTTGTTCAAAGGAACATGTTTGTAATATATACTCTTATTCTAATCAAGTAATACATCCCCAGATTTGTGTTAAATAAATAAATAAACATATAATACTCTTAACATAATTCAAGGCCTAGTAATCTAAGTTAGTTTATGAGTTAAGTAATTACTTGGGTACTCAATTTTGGATTCAGTTGCAGTTTGGTTACTTGAAATGAATGGAAGTTACTTCTGTACAACTATTTAAAAGGAAATCAAATTAAAAGAGCTATAAGAATAAGTTAGGTAAATTAGTTAATGTGTATTCAGCCCAAAAAAAAAAAATAAATAAATAAAATTGAAAGCATGTTTCTCTTTCTTGCTATCCTCCATATTTAATCTCTATCCATAATCTTCCCCACATCAAGCCACCACCGCCCAAACCAATTCTCCCTCTGTCGTACATTCAATCTTGCCAGAAATTAATCATGTGATAAGATCTAAGGAGCATAACTGATGAGTTCTCATATAATAGAGACATATTACAATATGTATTTCTTTCCATTTTTCAATCTTATAAGAATTTTCAAGGAATGCCATTTGTGCAATAGGCTAAGATTACTTAAAGGTGCACTGGTGCAACGACAATAAATGGAAGATAATCTTGATTGCTTTTATTACAAAACATATAGAAATGTTCAAGCTCTACACGAGATGGATCAAGACTAGCTTTTCAAAATCTCACGATTTTAAGAAGCAAACATGGATTCATTCAGAGAGGAAGGTAACATTAAATAAACAACGTGTCACACAAAGAAACCATCAAATTACCATCCAAATTAGAACCCGGTTTCTGCTCCAAGGATGTGATGCATGATGGAAAGCAAAGGTGGTTTGTCGCCTCATCACCTTGTTCCTCTTTGCTGCACAGTAGCAATATTAAGTGAAAAAGGCACTTGAAACATACGGCTCTTAACATTTATAGCAAATACAAACTAAAATATATTACTTGAATAAAATATCATATAATGGACAGGATTGCTCTTGCTGCTAGAATATAAATAACTGGATGGGAAAGACGTCAGATAATTACTCCAATGATAGATAATGAAAATAGATATAGGCAAAATTGCAATGCATTCAGTAGTGTAAGAACCCACACCATATAATGAACATCAAAACAATTTTAATAGTTGTTTCTTAACAATCCAATCCTTCATTTACCTTGCAAAATTGCCTGGGCTTCCCATTTTCTCCAACTGTATATCTACAAAATACAATCAGATGAAGATGAATGATTCATGATTCATGATTTTATAGTAAAAGAAAAAAAAAATCTAATAATCTGATCAGATATGTGCACTTCCATTCAAATGGGATTCCAAGGTAATCCTTCACGCTATTTTCACCACTTTCAAAATATCTAATTAGCTTTTAATCTTGCTTATAATTAGCAGTTGAAAAGTTTCATATATTTTAACTTGTATATTTGTTAAGCATCCACTCAACAAAACCCATGCATCAAAGACCCAGTTTCATGTTTAATTTTTGTAATTCTTGAATGGTTGCTTAACTAATATACATCTTTCGTGATCAATAAAGAATATTACACAATTGAAAGGTGCAGCCAGTTATATTATTTACCACATACATATGAAAACCTCGCATCTCAAATAATTCTATTGGCATTAGCATTATTTGCTTCCAACATGTCCCATTAATGAATTAATAAGAATTATTAGTATCAGCAAATAAGCTTGTCAATGGATGTGAAACTATACCTTTATCATAGCCAAACCAACAGCAACACAACTATATAGAACATGGGTAATACCGAGCACAAATAAGAACCGGTGAAGCTGCTCAAGACCTTCATAAGACACAAAAGGTTCGCGACCCTGCAGCAATCAGAAACTTATAAATTTGAAAAAGGTAACTGCATGCCTAACAAGAACTGGAGTGTAAGGGAACCAACGTACTTCAGGACATCGATGAGAAACGGAATTGAACAATCCCTTTGGAGGTATATCAGTCTCATTTGATGAGGGAAATGATTCTCTAATAAAAAATTTCTCATGGGAAGTGTAATCTTCCTCGGAACAAGCATAAAATCGACTGTTGAAAAGAGACGAATCTACACATATCTCAGAAATCCATCTAGCAAACTGTCCTAACAACAAAGAAATCAGGCCCAACAGCATAAGTTCTGCACAAGCAAGAGAGAACAAGTTACATCTCATAATGGGTAGCTATTCACTGTTAAGAGCCATAATATTCAGACTTCTAAAAATTTGCTAGCTTCATGAAATGACTTGTATATCATTACTCGTTACTTGTTACTATAATATAAGTAGACCAAAGAGCAAACATGATCATCAAAATCCAAAGACCATAGTCAAGTATACTGAGTTATCACATCTCCAAACCACACAAATAGAAAACAAAGCAAATTCTAAAAATTACAAGCTGGATCGCCGGTACATCATGTTCTCGAGTGTATAACCAAATAATTGAAGCATGCTTATGATACCAACTCGACTACCAGTAAGCAAAACAGAAAATAAGAAAGCCAGATAACAGATCACAAAAGGTAGCAAACACACAAGATAATACCCAAAAAAAAAAAAAATTGACACCAAACAATTGAAGCAACTAATCTTATTACTATACATTTCTTAACTAAAATTTACAACAAATGTTAGTTAATTACTGGCTTTGAAGTCAAATTACCTTCTTTAATCTTCTCTAATGAAGCATACAAAGCCTTCCTCCTAGTCTTCTTCAACCACTGCAAATTTAAAATTAAAAATAAAAAACCTCAAAATTTCCCTTCAAAACAAAAACTAAAAAAAAAATAAAATAAAAATGCAACCCATTTAAATATGTCATCAATTAAAGTGAGAATAATGTATGCAAAATTCTCACCTTGCCAAACCAGTAAATGCACCTTTCTACAAGAAAACAAACAAAAATCATAATTGAAGTAACTGTTGCAACAGACCATGTTGGAGTTTCTGCAAGAGATTTTCCTTCTCTTAACATTTTTTACAGCAATCTATTGCACAAATTCAATTCATAGAAGTTCAATATTATCTCTAGAAATTTGTAGGTATACTTAGATTGTAAAATAAGATCCAGAAAATATGGAAAGAACTGGGTTTTTTTAGTTTTTTTTTTAAAATATCCCAAAATGTTAGTATTAACCCAGAAAAATTAATGTTATCTGAATTGCAGTGAAATTGATACTGTGTATTAAATTTTCTGGGAAATGCTAGTTGAGACTTGCGATGCGATCAATGGAAGTTGAATTTTTATTAGTTGTTCATTGTTATTAAAGGGTTTTCTTGTCCCCCAATTGGTTCTTCAGACAAATAAACAAACACTACACGTGCATTGATTTCAACTTGAAATTATTGTTATTGAAAATTTTGGATCAAAAGTTAACTTTTGTCAAATAAGACAAATACATAGACACTGCGAGTACTGTGATCTTCAAGGTTTTTTAATAACTTTGGTCCGAAAAACTTGTTCAATGGGTCGAGTTAGGGGCAAGGACTGGGGTGGGTCAATTTTTAAAGGGTTATGAGAGGGCAGGTCACATTAAAATTTAAATGAGGCGGGTAACATTAAAACTTAAATGAGGCTGGTCGAATCGAGACCTATTATTTTCGCTCCGACCCTTTTTACTTTGAAAAAAATTATAAGATGTTTGGGCCCCATGGTCCAAATAGACGGATTTACCTATGATTATTTGAATGAGTCATTATAATTTATACACGTTTAACCCAAAATAAAATTTACTTTATTAAAATTGATAATTAAGATAATTTAGTCCTTTAAATATTTAATTAAAATAAGTGGGTCCTTTAAATACATTTTATAAATACTTAAATAATTTATAAAATTAATAAATTTATAAATACTTAAATACTTAAATAATACTTAGATTATTATTATTATTATTAGTATTATTATTAATATTGTTATTATTATTATTATTATTATATCTCAAAAACAGACAAAGTCATACAACCTACAAAAAACTAGTGGCAAGTCGAGATACAATCTGGGTCCCACTCCACTAACTATAACAAACCCTATCCTAGTGAAGATATGAGCAGCAGCACATGCCCCAATGTCTTGCGTCGTCGAAAATTTCTGAACCCGCTTCAGCAACATGAATATGCCGCAACACCTGAAAAACTTCTCTTTAAACTGTCTCTACTACTTGCCATAAGAAATGGATTGTCGTAGGGCCAAGATAAAGACAAGGTCAACTAAACACACAAGCACAACAATCAGCAATGTTGAATACATAAGCGTAAACGAAACACACTAACATGCATATAACCTAGCAACATTCAAACTTACCTCGAGCCCTGAGTTCAACATGCAACCAATAATACAAACACAGACAACTAATCATTTATTTAATTTGATTACGCATCCCAATAAAGGGGTACTAACACGGGAGCTAACCATGTTAGTAAACCTGGGTATCGTGTCGTGTCGGGCCGCCGCGAGCCGTGCTTGGTGGGCCACGGTCACCGTCGTGTCGTGCCGGGCATGCCGGCGTGCCCAGGTTTTCGTGCTGTGCCGGCCAATTTCAAAGGCCAGCCCACGGCCTGGCACGACCCTCGTGCCGTGCCGGCCTTCGTGCTGGCCTGCATGCTGACTTGGCGGGCTGGTCTTGTGTAAAATTTTCTTTTTTTTTAATTTTTTTTTATTTTTTGTTAACGGTTAATAACTTATAAATTATAAAATTATAATTATAAATTATAAGTTATAATTTTATAACCTATAATTTTAACTTTTATAAGTTATAAATTTATAAATTTATAAGTTTATAACTTATAAGTTATAAAATTATAATTATAACTTATAAGTTATAAAATTATAAGTTATAAAATAAATTAAGTTGAACATTTATGTTTTATTATTTTTTATATTCAATATTTATATTTATATATTTAGTTTATACTATTACTTTAAAATTTAATGTTTATGATTTATTAAATAATTTTTTGTATTATTAATTGGTATAACTTTCTTTTTGTTATATTAATATACAAATTATAACAAACGGGGATAAAAGGAAAATTGGACTTTGGATGTGAATAATGCATACTTCATATTATTATTATTTGAGTTGAGAAAATTGTACAATGATAACAATGAAAATTAGATAATGATAATATTGATAAACGATAACGATTAAAATCGTACAATATACAAAAATTATCTATTCTTCTTGTTGCTCGTCTTCGTCTTCGTCGTCGGCTTCGGCTTCATCGGCTAGTTGGATAGATTGGGAACTAGTCGAACCCGAATGGTCGGAAGCGAAGGTTCCTTCATCGTTGTCGTTGTCCTCGTAAGAACGGTCTTGTGAGCGATTTTCCGCATCCAACCAATCTTTGAAACACACGCACATTTCTAGTGTTTCGGGTTTTAGACTTATTCTTCTATCGTCCGGAACCCTTCTGGATGCGCTGAAAACTCGTTCGGAGGCAACAGAGGAGACTTGGATACCAAGAATGTCTCGTGCCATTTCCGCCAAAGTTGGATGCTTCGAGCTTTGTTGTTTCCACCATTCAAGGAGGTCGAGACTGTTTATCTCATCGTCGTCCATGCCTTTGGTGAAGTCGTAACTCAGGTACATCTGCAACTCTGAGACGTCGCTTTGTGTTCTCCTGATTGATGAATCACCTGAAAACCTTGAAATCAAGTTAGTAGCTTGTGAAAATAAATGTTTGGCCTTCTTACTTACGTTTTTGGATGGTTGGGGAAGGCCCTGAGCGAGGAACGGTGCCATATTTGGCTTCATAAACTCTATATAAAGCAAAAAATTGATCCTTCACATTAGTCTTATAGTTTTCTACATCATCGTCAGGAAGCATGCATTGAAAGTAAATGTCAACTAACATAAATGTGTTTTCATACTTTTGCCTAGGATCTAATATGGAGCAAAAATATAAATCAAAGGAATTTCACTATAATATTTACGCCACTTTGTTTCCATTGCTAGAAGATACTGATCATAATCACTTTGGTTGCGATGATCAGCGAAAAGTTGGGTGAGTAAACATGCATTAGAAAGAAAGTTTTGAGCACAAGGATTGTAAACAGAAGAAAAACAATATGTCATGTTATATAATAATTGTAAAAATTTCATATATCTTTCACAGTTATACCAATCATCATCATATAAAGCAGTTTGTTTGGTTGTAAAATAGTGTTAACGGATTCTTGTACTCAATTGCCTTGGTTAACATGTCATAGGTGGAATTCCACCTAGTTGGGCAATCGGTTTTGATTTTTATTGCCCTTATCTTTTGTTGTCTTAGAAAACTCTTCCATTCTTGGTACCACATGTTTGAGCTATTAATAGACATAATAGCATCTCTGATTTTGTTGTAGTATGGGCCAATTGCCCGAACTCCATCGTGTACACATAAGTTAAGTACATGGCAAACACATCTAGTATGAAGAGCATCACCGTCTAATATTACATTGGTTAAGTTTTGTTTGACAAGATTAGTTGTGTATGTCATAGAGGTTGCATTGTCAAAAGTCATAGACATCATTTTATCTCGAAGGTTGTAATCGTCTATTGCTTGCATTAAATGGTGAGCAATGTCAATGCCGGTGTGTGGGTATTCCAGTATTTTGAAATGTATTATTCTTTTTTGTAACAACCATTGATCATCTACCCAATGGAAAGTCGCACATAAATAGTGATATTTATAACCACTATCCTAAGCATCGGCTGTCAAAGACACTTTTGTACTTCCTAAATTATCCTTGAATTTTGTACATGCCTTATATTTTTTTCCACTTTCTCTCTCTAACTTTTGTCTATAATTATACTTTTCACTTTTATTAATGTACTTTATCCACTTTTTCCTCCTATTTCTTAAATATCGCGAAAACACAAAAACAAGAATTATATTATGGGATGGAGGGAGTAGCTCATATAAAAAAAAAACAAAAAATAAAAAATATTAATTTTTAATACTTTGGCACCATTCCCAATGCATTAATGTTTATAAACAACCTATTTTTATCATGTTTATCATCAAGATAAAGTGGGGCTCCCACCTCTGATTCAGTAGCGATTTCTCCATTGTTGTTGTTGTTGTTGCAATTCCCTTGTATTTAGGTATTACGATTTTGCCTTTTGATTTCCTCTTTATTCATGTTTTCATCGATCTCTTTGATAACTATATTAAATTTCGATTTTTGTTCTTCTCTTATTACATTGATCTCTCTGTACAATGTTATGCCATTATTTTTTCATCATGTTTTCTCAATTTGTTATCTTTTCTGTTTTGGGTGTTTAATTTTGATGCATTTGGTGGGGTTGGGTTTTCTATGAAAATGGGTTTGCTATTCAATTACTTATTCTCCAGTTTGTTGATATCGCTAAGCTTCTTATAAATGCTGTAAATCTTTGCAAATCTGTAGAATTATGGGTACCCAGAACATAATCTTCTAGGATCATTGTGAAAATCTAAACTTGGATTGTTATTGTTTCGGGTAAAAACAATGGAGCCTTCGGCAAGCCCTTTTAAGGTGGAGAAGACTGATCTCGGTCCAAATAATGCTGGAACCGAGGATTGCCTGCACAACAAAGAACACGTAAAACTAGCCTCTAGGGTTGTGCCGAGAAAGGCCCATCCGATGCCGAAGTCAGTACGGTGTTTAAAAGAGAGAGAATGTGTTATGCAAGAGATTTTTTCTTGAGGCTGATTGTGAATGAATGTTGTAAAATGGAATAAGTTTGGCTTTTATACCTCTGCTTAAATGAGGGGCTTGGACCCTTGGAGTCAAGTGGGCTTTCCACCTGGACTGAACCTTTGACTGACTTTGACATTGGGCCGGAGAGTTGAACCTTGCTTTTGGGCTTTGGATTGAATCATTTGGACTTGGCCCAATTAGATGGACTGAAATGGACCCAAACAACTTGCCCCCCAAACCCAATTCGGCTGAAAGACGGGTTGGGTTTGACTTGCGAATTTGAAAGGACAAATAACGGCAACTTGAATCTTGAAGGAATTAGGCAATTAATGATGCTTAACTGCCATTAAGGAGATTAATTAAAGAAGACTGAGGGTTTAGTGGGTAGTTTACTGAGAACGTGTGTGACGGTTTGCGTTTAATGAGGAATTCCTGGGGTTTTTGGCGGTTTAAGGTTTTTTGGAATTCTTGATTCTTGAAATCCTTGTATAAAAGCGCCCTCTCCACTTCCCTTAATCATTTTCTCGCAAACACACAAATTTCCCAAGAACACTGAACTCACTGCAAACCCTAGATTTTCCTTGCCCTTAATCTCTGCAATTCTGCACAGCAATTCGCCCTTTTTCCCAATATC